GCGTTAAACGTTTAACGCTACATTTTTATTGGCCGGGAAATCACGTGGTAGGATCCAGTTTTCCCTCATTCATTTCCATATTGTTTTGGTTTTCACTAGCATAAAAATAATAAAAGTCATAAAAGTATTGTTTTTCCATAAATATTTTTTTAGTTTGTTTTGATACACATATAATTTAATAGGGTTATTTTCAAATTTAGTGGATAACAATTGTAAAAAATTAGTGAAAACAATCACACGGACAATGCGATGGATTTAAGGTTATGTCAAGGTACGTCTCTTGTGAATATCAATTGATTGTTAGGTTTTCTCTTCCGAAATTGCATTATGACGCATTCACATACATTATTAATACAAATACATTTTCCAGGGCGAGACGATGAGGCAACCACAAGCACTTCCACTGGTGTTACCGTGATTACAGAGCACGGAAGCGAGCGGAGCAGGAAAAAGAGTCGTTGAATAGAATTTAGTGATCCATCTACGACTGCTGATTCTTCTACAATTAACGTCGGAGGTGGCGAAGTTTAACTTCTTTCGCGCTGAGGGACTCCACGCACTATTTTTTTTTTTGTTTTACTAGAATTTATTTGTTTATGCAGGTTTTCCATTGCAATACACTTATTTCAATTTTTAATAGACTTAATTGTAGCCAAAATTTTAACCTTTTAAAAGAAATATCAGTTTTAGAAATTTTATCTTCAGATTTTATACCATAACACATTTCTAATAGGTTTACCGAATTATATTTCATTTATTTGAATTGAAATTTATTTTAATGACTTAGTATTTACCAAAAAGATGTAATTTTTTTTTTTAAAAAAAAGTTGTTATATGGATTTAAATATGTCATTTATTTGAATTCAAATTTATTTTAATGACTTAGTATTTACTAAAAAGATGTAATTTTTTTTAAAAAAAAAGTTGTTATATGGATTTAAATGACTGTTATGAATTTTTAGAATTTTGTGCATTTGCAATGTACTAAGTTAGTAGCGAACGAAGCGAGGTTTGTTTGCGAAGCAAACCATATAAGATTGCGTAGCAATTTTCGGGGGTTGGCGAGCGTTACTAGCAGGGGGCGCAGCCCACTAGTATTTGAAAATAACCTATCATTTTTTCTTCATCGGCACAAATTCATGACTTAAAAAAAAATTTAACAAAAAAACCAATATAACATTTTAATTTCATCAGTAAATAACACTGTATAAAATGATGGTTTTGTAGTAGGATAATCGAATTACTATTTAAAGATTATTATAAATGTATCAATAATGCTTTGCCATGATATACTATGTGGGATTCTTTTCTCTCTATGATACAATATAAAGTTATATTATCTTCAACATTTCATTCCATGTTAGAATGCCAAAAAAAGTTAAGTACGCTTTTACTTGTTTCGAAACATAAAAACCTTCATGATTCCCTTTTCTTGAAATGTATGCTTATTTGTGAATATATAGACAACTACAGTAGAGCCAAAGTAGATTTGTTTGTTTTCGAAAATATACATTTGTGCTAAGGCACGGAAGTGTTCTTAGAATTCGAATCTAAGAGCATGATATTTCGAAAACAACACCGAATGTTTTATAGAAAGCGGGCTTAAAAGATGTGATTTACAAAGGAAGAAGAAAAGAAAATCGAAGAAATTTTAAAGTATCACAAAGA